TAGACTGTGACACTTGCTGGGATGATGGTCGTTGTTGCCACTTTTTTATATATATTTACTAACATCTTTCACACAAACAATTATTTGACTAAATGTACATTCATTGCTGTCCACATTAAATCCTAAAACATTCAGAGCATGGATAAATATCAATAATCATCTTTAAATGAACGTTTTTCATTTTGGGTAAAAGAGGAAATGATACAAAGTTGGTTCTAATATTGAAGATTTGATTTTCCATAAACATTCCAAATGTTTCTTTTTCTTGATGGGAAGGGTGGAAATTGCATTGTTGGTTCTTATTTAAAACACAAAAGTTTCTTTTTACCTTGCTGACAATTTCGTTTGTGGCTGCAAACTTTCTCAGAGCTGACGCCGATAGTGGTGACACTTCCCTCTCAGTTTATCTGCGGGAAGCAGAAGACGTTGTCACCAGGCGCGCAGTTAGGGTGGGGGATGGGGGGATCTGTCCCCCCCAGATTCAGATCGACCCCGATCCATCCCCCGCACTAAGTCCAGAAAGAAAACAAAATTGGATGTTAAGCGCTTGAGGCTCCTTTTTCCAATTACGTTGAATGCAGCATGACGTAAACAAACACCAACTCCAGAGGTGCAAAAGTGGTTGCTGCTAGGACGCAGGATGAAGTGAAAAAGGCAAGCAACGATTTCTGCGTATTAAAAAAAAAAAAACAGTGTAAGTAGGTGGGACCGATCTGTCTGTTTATGCATGTTGGTTATAGATTCAGTACATTGTTGTCAGTGTTGGGACTTACTCATTAAAAGCGCCAAATCCTCATTGCTGACTTTAACAAGTATCTTCTACAAATATGATCCCTCATGAAGTTAATACTTTACATCAGAAGATAGTGGAGGTGTGTAACCTTCAGGCTGAGCAATGTTTTGGAGTTTTTAGAGTTTGAAAAACGCCTCCCGCCGAGAGGCTCCCAGTCGGGGAGAGGAGGAGATACGAGCAACATGAAGAGCACAAATATTAGATAAAACGTATAACTGCCGGCAGATCTGGTCTTTGTTGACTGATCACTTTGTCTGGTAATGACTGACTTTTATTATGAAGCGGAATATTGACTCTGATGAAGAAATTCACTCATCCAGCCGGGAAGATTGACGCTGCTGCAGCATCAGACAGCTGGTGCTGCACGAGAGGTGTGTGGAGCTTACAAGCTCCAAACGTTGGGTTTGATGTTTGTTTAACCTTCTTTGAGACGTGATGGATGTAGAAATGATGGTAAAAACACCGCTAACATGATAGACGTAGCGACAATGTAAAAAATAAAGCCAAAAAAAAAAAGCCGTAAAAAAGAGGCAGATGCCGATGCGTTATACATGGAAGTCAAAGTGTGCCACATAATCATAAAAAAAGTTAAATATAAAATTAAAAAAAAAGATTTATATATTTATTAAAAAAATTAAAACTTTCCAAATATTATGAAAATTTCTAAATAACGTAAAAATACGAAGGAACATCTGTTGGTCAGGCTGGAAAGTTTGGGAATCACTGCTCGATTGGAACCGATTCCAACTGTTAGTTTTTCACGGAATTGTTCAAAGTTTTTTATTTCGATTCCTAGAATGCCGACCGGAAGAGGAATCCGCGGCCGATCTCCGTGAAAAATGAACGTGATCTGCAAATTGTGTGCAATAACTTTGACTGATGCTAAACTGTTAATATATCCATAACAGTGAAGACACCGAGAACCACCGACATGTTCAGTCCACACGTTCTTTATTTTGTCCCTCACTTCTGCCACACACTCCATTTCACCATCTCCCCACTAGGTGGCACCATGGTACTACCAAATATATAAACTGGGCCCGGCTGAACAGCATATTGTTTCATCCCTCTAATACCTAATATATATCACTATATTACATTGTGATCAACGCTTTTCAGAGCTGATCACACCAGCTGTCTGTGTGCAGCACCGAGTCCCCCCTCCTCCCACCCAGGCATAAACAAACGTGTCTGCCGAACTTTTACTCCGTGATGTAAACTTTAACTCCTGCAGCGTAGAGGAAGCTTGTTAAAATATGTCAACACGGTGGATTTAATAGAAGCTTTAAAGAACAAACTCTGGACGGTATGAGGTGAGTTTGTCTCACTGCAGAAATAAAAACACACACGGAGCATCAGCAGTCAGATGCAGCCGCTCACCAACACTCCTGTGTGTGAGCATGAGCATCAGAAGGCTGAACAATAACCTGTAGAATAATTAAAGTCATCATGCTAGAGCAGCTTTCTCTGTGGTGGACCACACCAGCTTCTGCCACAGTAAATAATAATAATAATAATAATAATAATAATAAATCACACACAAAGTTGTGAACATTTTAATTTCCTTTCTGAACCATTTCTGTTGAGAGTTTTAATGTTTAAAATCTGTCACTGACAGCAGCTACATTTAAGTTTCACTTTCTGTTCTGACTGAATGCTGCTGCAGCATGGAGGTGTAGTTCTCAGTCATCCTGGATATGATCATCCTGAGAGTTTTAGCTGAAAACAGCTGGACGTTTCTGGATGTGTTGGAGACATTTAGCCTCTCATCCCAGAGGCTTCGTCCAGACTTTGGTTGTGGTCAGAAACAAACACACTGGTTGTGCTGCAAGTCTTTTTCTTTTTTTCTCCAGAACATGTTTCTGTCTAAACAAAGGCGATGTTATTGTTCATAGAATTAAAATTCATGTTGAAGTTAAGATTATTTCATCAAGTAGGACCTGTGGTTACCTGGTTCATGTAAAACATGTCATGTCTTGAAAGAATCGGAATCGGCAATCGATAGGAACCGGAATTGAAACAAGGAATTGGAATTGGAATCGTAATCAAATGATGGCCAACCCTATAAGTGAATATTGTTTTTTAAATATATTTTATGTGCAGTTTTTTAGGGCTTTTATGTTTTCTGTAAAGATTTGTATGCTGAAAATCATTTAATGTTTTGCATAAAGCATGAGGATTTGGTTGGTAATCGATTGGGAGAACAACAAATGACTGACTTGGATAGTGTTGATCAGGCAGAGCTTTGCTGCCAGTGTTCCACTGCACAATGGTTTCAAACACGTATATAATAGTGTTAGTTTTTACGTAACCCATTGGATGAAATTCCACAAACTGACTGAGCTCTAGTTAAGGCTCTTGTAATAGTTTGTGTATGTGTACGTGCGTGCGTGTGTGTGTGTGTATATATGTGTTTGGGGGAGGGTACATTGAAGCTTTGTCCCCATCCCATCCCCCCCCCCCCCCCCCCCCCAGTTTGAAAATCCTTTCTGTGCCCCTGGTTGTTGCCCTCTGCTGCCTGCACTCCCTTCACTGATGACACAGTCCCATGCATGATCCAATGTGTAAATCACATTGTCTCTGTTCATGGTTCCGTATCCACGTCCCCTCATCTCTATGGCTTCCTTTTTCCATCTTTTGTATTTCTGTTGTTTGGTGTTTATTCATCTTATTCTCAAATTGTCATTCTCACACAGAAATGGATTGTGGGTAATACACTTTGCGAAGCCTGCATTGAAACGGATTTGGGCAAAATGTGGATCAAGGGTGCAAAAAAGGCAGAGAGGTTGTCAACTTCTGCACTTGGGAATTGGGGCACCCTACGCACTCATAGAGGGGTGAAAATGTGGAAGTGCGAGTAATTGGGATTGGGCCACAGAACAATTTTAACCCTCCCACTGTCCTAATGGGTGTGACCCCACAAGGAAAGTTGACCATTGAGCATGGTTGATGGTTTGTCCCTTGGGTCCATGTGGCAGGGGTGAGGTGGTACTCACTCCTCACCCCTTTCACATGGACCCAAGGGATAAACCATCAGTCCTGCTCAATGGTCAACTTTCCTTGCGGGGTCACACCCATTAGGACAGTGGGGGGTTTAATCTAAAAATGTTGCTGTTTTATTAACTTCAACACTGCATTACAATTATTTACCCAGATTTCTATGAGTATTTTCAATAGAAGCTAGCAACAGAGCGAGCTATCACCAGCAGCTCTGCTAAAAAGGAAATTGCTCGTATAGTGATCAATACTTTATACAAAGTTTTCTGAATTTTGAGATTATGTGCTTTTAAAATCAGAGGAGTATAATGCATGTTTTAAACTCTAAAGATATTTTTGTTTTATTATTTAATCGTCATTTTTTTTTTATTAAAGCAACACTGAATAAGTTTACCGCTTTTCTCCCTCACCCCCCTACTGGTTGAAATCAGAATTACAAATATCGTAAACAGCCCTGCTGCAGCCTGCTGTTGCTAGTGCTAACAATCAGCTTAAACACAAGCCAGCTGATACTAAATAGGCCCCAAAGAAAAAAGATCCACACTGTTGGACAAATAAAATATTATCACTTAGTCCAGTAGCAACAAAGCCAGTTTGTGATTTTGTAGCCTCCTTCAGTTCCCTCAAACAAGTGGAGGGAGAACTGTCAAATGAGAAGTTGCTCAAGAACCACTGAAACCAGTTTGAAAGCAATAGCTTAAACCTTTGGTGTTGCTTTATCGTTGTCATGTAGACTTTGCATTTTGTCTTTTAAATGCAGTCCTCAATGATGTCTTTATATCTGGCAGATCATTGCTTCTCTTCACTCGTATTTAAAAATACAAACTTAACTACAAATTCAAGTTGTGATATGAATCTCGAATCCATGATGTCTGACTCTTCCCAAAAAGACTAAATTCAAAAAAATGAAATCATTTCACTGGCTCGCCCTGGGCTCCTAAACCGTGTGATGTTTTTTCTCCATTGAAGTCAAACAGCTGTCATCATTTCCTTTGTGTTCCTGTGTGACGAGGTACTGAGGGAACATTAGTTAACCATGGCAGGTTATTTGCTGAGCTTGACGCATCTGCTCTGGTATCTGCAGAAAGTGGCGGTGTCACCCGTGGTTGTTTTCTGCCCGAGGACGTTCTGGTAGAAGCGTGTGTGCAACATGCTAGCTGAGACGTTTGAATATGCGCCTTAAGACATGCATTCTGCTCTTTGTTTGCAGTGATAACATTCTGGTTCTGGATATCTACTTTGAAGCGCTCAACTATGAAACCATTGAACAAAAGAAAGCCTATGAATTGGCAGGCCTTCTGGGTAAGGAAACATCTGTCAAGTTTTGCTTGTTTTCTGGAAGAAAATATATGCGATATGCGGCGTGACAGATGCTTTGTATCCAAAGTGACAGTAGTGCAAGCACTTGCATGTTTATAATAGTTGTTTGGGCCCCTGGAGACACAAAGCTGCATTATTTCTACTGCAGAATTTTAAATGATTTGTGTTTTTTCTGTTTCATCTCTTACCAGGAGACGTGACCTAATGTGAATAAAAAACATCTTTTAAACTTCTGTTCCAGGTGATATTGGAGGTCAAATGGGTCTCTTCATTGGTGCGAGCATCCTCACTGTTCTTGAGCTCTTTGACTATTTATATGAGGTACAATTTCCCCTTTTTTTAATTCCTACATGCAAAAAAAGTCATTTTCAACACAACTATAATGTTAAGTGCGTTATGGCAAACCACAAGTACCTTATTCCCCCTCTCAACCCTGCTGCCTATTTGTGCTTAGCACGCATATTTGATTAAAAGCAGCATTTACATTTTGAATGTTTTAGGTTTCTATTAATCGGAATGTTTCTGTCCAACATGCTTCCTCAGCTTCTTACAAGCAAGAATGAGTTTTTTGTGTGTTTTTGATCAGCGATATAAGTCTGTTTTTTGGACAGATGGTAAAGCAGCTCCTTTTTCTAAGCGTAGGCTCGACAGAGAGAGAAACGTATTTTTACATTTCAGCTTGCCTAATTCATATACGTGGGCTCGAGTTATGAAACCACCACCCCAAAAAAGTAAAGAATTTGGATGTTCTCCAGGAGCTGCATAAGTCAGATTCTCCTTGTCTATTTTCAGGTGATCAAGTACAAGCTGTGCAGATGCATGAAGAAGAAACACAAAGGCCGCAGCAACAACGATCGGGGGGCTGTGCTGAGCCTGGATGATGTGAAACACCATGTAAGTAGGATGCTGCTAAGTACTTTGACTGTGCCAGGCTGCATTGCTCTGACAGGAGCAAACTCGTCTGTTCTTTGTTCTGACTGGACTCAAGTTGCCGCCAGCCAGGGTAGAGAGGAGCAAACGTGAGAGAGAACAGACTGAGATGGAGAAAAGCAAATTTAGAGATGCTACAGGAAAAGGAGCAGGAAAAAAACTATTGGGATAAAAGGACTGAGAGGGAGGGCGCAGGAGAGTAGAAAGTGGCTTGAATTTAATCAAAGCAGCAGGGCAGCATCAGCAGGAACAAGCCGGAATTAAAGCTCTGGAAGGTGTGTCAGCTTACTTACATCAGAGCATAAATGAAACCAGTTCACTTTCAGTGAAAATGATTTGCTCCTCCTCCGCTTCTGACCTTCTTCTTTTTCATTATTTTTCAGCTCAGAAATCTATTACCTCTCCCTTCTCTGACCAGCATCAAGTCGTTGTGTTTCTAACAGCATGTTTACGATACTTTCTCCACATTTGCACACTCTTTATCAGTGGCAGCCAAAGGGGGTACCGGAGGGAGGCATGGCCACCCTTAAAAGGTCGTTAGCCGCCCCACTTGTTTTGTCTCCAAAGACAGTAGTTTCTTACTTTACTTCTATGATCTGTCATGATGCCAACAAAAGAGCAAACTTCTTCATTTTCTTCTTTGTGTGCTTTTTAATGACGATCAGAAAGCTAAAAAAGTTAATTGCTAGCCTTTATATTAGCTATCAGCAGAGTAAAGAGTTAACAGCAATAAAGCAGGCACAGAACTCCCCCTAGGTCACCTACCCATCCCACAAAAATGCTAAGTGTGGTTTCTGCTCAGCAGGGGCTGTCCAGTGTGAAGTTGTTAAAGTCTCTACTTCAACAATCACTGAAACCCACTTTTAAAGGAACAGCTTAAAGTGTTCAAAACTCTTTAATGTTGCTTTATTGCAAAAGTATGAAAGAGCAATGCAATAAACACCTACAGGCCAAATTCTGGCCAGTTTTGTGAGCCACCTCAAAATGTTCACTGGCCCCCCATGAATTTTTTTTCTGGAGACGCCACTGCTTTTTCCCCATTCACCTCTCAGTTGTATCTATATCTGTATTTCTGCTTGTTGTTTTCCACCTTTTAAGTTGGCCTCTCTTCCCATTTTCTTCCAGGCCCCTTGCGAGAATCTGCATACACCCTCGACCTATCCTGGGAACATGCTACCTCACCATCCAGGCCAGGGCAACTTTGAAGACTTCACTTGTTGAGCAGATCCTGGTGAAACAGCAAAGTGCGTGTTATGCAACCAAAGCCAACCATAAGACAGCAAGGACTATCCAACGCACAGACAGTGAGGAACTGATGCTAAATCCAATAAAGGCACTTTTTACATAAAGACTACGAAGAAAAAACAAGCTAATTCTACGTGACAAAAGATTTTCACCCAAGGCCAAGTGAAGAAAAAGCCCTGAATATAAAAAAACATATATATTAAAATTTTTAGGAGAACATTTCATGCAGCACTCAACTCTTGTTGTTTTCCTCTGGAATACTGCCGCAAAGGATGCTCGTGGAGAAACTTTGCCAACGTGGAACTCTCGTACACAAAACAGGAGCACTAAAAAAAATGTAAAAGATCCCTGAAAGATGTACAGTTAACTCACCATAAAACAGACACAAAAAGGCCCCATACCTTTATATAACACATTATGAACCCACACAACACTACACCTGCTTATGTGACGACATCCATAACGCTTACTCTACTCTACATGTAGCAACACGTGTAACTGTTGCAGCGACTCATCTGACGACAGCTGTGTAGTTAGTCTGAGAATGTATTTCTGTTCACATTGTGTGTAATGGAGCGTAATGGGGTTAGCATTCAGGGGAAATCGTGGCTGGGAAGTGGTTGAGATGCAACATCTAACTTTTTTTGGGAAAAGAAATGTACTGGTGAAAATTTCAGGCCTCATCATCATCATCACCATTATCATCATGTAAATGCATGCTTGTATTTGTCTAGTAGTGCATGTGTTTCATTTCATTTCTACTTCAGATTGATTTTCATGACTTTATTTTAAGAAAAATACACCTATATGAGCATTTACATCCCAATTACCAAGTTTGCCTCAGCGAAAAACATGTCAAGGAGAATGATGCATCTCATATAAGTGTGTGTGTGTGTGTGTGTGTGTGTGCGTGTGCGTGTGTGTGTGTGTGTGTGTGCGTGCGTGCGTGCGTGCGTGCGTGCGTGCGTGTGTGTGTGTGTGTGTGTGTGTGACACCATTTGTGCCCAACTAGGTGAGTGTCGTTAATTGTGCAGAGGAATGAGCTTTGCCTAATTTCACTTCACTCCATTTTTCATTTCCACGTGTCCGATGAGTCGATAGAATCCGCTTCATTCACTTTCGAGGCAATCTGTGTTGAGGTGAAGTAAGGTCATGCTTTTTTATTATCATAATTTCTATTTCTCTTCATTTTTTTTTTATTTTATCACCTAAGAGTTGGTCGAGGAAATCCTTGGGAGTTACTGTATCTGTTTTCTAGTTGCAAAGTCTTTATCGAAGCACAATACTGCGAGTATGTATAGGTGATATTAAAAAAGTATCCTTGTTATATTGTCATATTATTCATATCGTGTTGATTCAACTGTTTTTATTTTTTATTATTTTTATTTTTTCATACAAAGTTTACTCAGCATCGCCTGATAATCCTGTCTCCATCCTTCGGGTAATGGGATTGTCTATTTAGGTTTGAAAGCATAAATAAAATGTAACTATGATTTTAGAAAAAAAAGTTGTCTTGTGAGGCTTTCTTCTTATCAGAATCTCCTTTTTTATGGGTGAGTGGGCAAACTGAGGCAACATGATGAATTTTTCAGCCCCACATAGAGTGCAGATGCTTGTTTTTTTAAATCACAAGAAGCTTTCTGAAAATCTGATTAAGTATCTTTCAAAGGGCTTTCCCATCTCTGCTTTCCTCTAATCAACATGTAATCTTGATTTTCGCCTTGCAACACATTTTCTTTGAACTAAATCAGAATTAAGGAAATAGTTTATCAGCAGGAGTACTGTATTAAGCAAGCTATCGCTTATCTGTGTCAACCATTCTTCGGTGTGCAGTTAAAAGGCTCCAATATTGGTGTTTTGCAGCTTCTTGAAATGTAATTGCACTTCCTGTTGCTAGATGACAAAAGCACGGATGAGAAATGCGCTGCTCAGCCAATTCAAGTTTTAATCAAGATTGTCAGTCAGCCAGCAACAGAACATTTTGGGTGACTTCCCTCGTTCTCTGCTGTACGTCTGCTGCTCTGTGGTGCATGACAGAGGATACTGGAAACAAAAATCATGTTTGCCACTCACTCAGATGCATGTCAGCCCAGCTCTCTCACCGGGGCATCAGGGGTCATTTGGGGATGAGAATTTTATTTTTCACCTGATTATTTTTTCATGAAAGCACACATTAACATCATTCATCAAACACAATTTCAATTTTCATGATTTCAGAGGGGGACCCTCAGATGTTAACCACGCATTAATATACAAGCTTAAAGCTCCAAATGAAGGATGAGGAGCGTCTGATGAAGAGTTTCCTGCTTTAAGTGGCTGAGACATGACTTTTCCCTCCATTGGTGGCTTCATTTTCTGTTGTACCTGCCAAAAAGACAAACTAATGAAGTACTAAAGAATAAAAATGTTCATTTTCTGGCATCCGTGTCTTTGTCTAAGCGACAGTCTGCATCCTGGAAAATTGGAAGAAGGGTCAGGATACAGGAGAGCTGCCTGCCAGTGACAGAAATCCTGCAGGAGATGCTTGCTGCATCCTGATAAGCCTCCGCAGGCTAAGCGGGGGTGGGAGGTGGCAACACCAGCAGGAGTGCAGACAAACTGGAATTCTTTGCAAAAATAAGCAATTAACATGACTTTACTGCAGTCTCGAGGGTCCTAATTGCAAGCACATCCTGAAATCCTGGCAGTGGCTTCCCTTCTCTCTGAACAAGGTTGAAATCTTTACGCGCCCTCGTCGCCTCACAGACATAAAGATCAAAGATAACTGATCCTTCTGAGCTCTCACCTTGCTGTTCGACATGCGGCCAATCTGTGGACAGTAGGAGCAGATGCTCCTGTAATGGAATCCATCCCAAATGGGCTGCCCTTTCTAAATTGCTGGAACATCCACCACTAATCACTGCAAGCAGCTGGTTGTAATTTATGGAGGGGGTGCAAGAAAATCTCTGTTTGTTGTTATGCTTTAATGAAATGTGTTTTGCTGCTGTTTTCATCCTTATCTGACATTTAAATCTTGCTGTCTGCTGTCACTGAACACTCACACACTTACACACAAGTTAGAGGTAATGCCCTCCTAATCCTTTTATTGCTTCTTATTATTGACTTGAACACGGATATTACACCCCTGATGAGGTGGGCTTTGTTTTGTTGTTTCCAATACCATAATGTTTGAGAAATAAATACGTAGATTATGGGTAAGTTTGAGTAAACTGTCTCTTTTATCAGTGCCACTGTTTGTATTCACACACTTTTTTTCTTTGAGGTTTCAACTGCCATGAAAATGTTTGGATTTAGCACGAAATAAAGTGGTAAAATTACTTAAATGCATGTAAATATATAAAAATATAAAATTCCCATCTTACCCTCTGCGGGTGATCTCTTCCATCCAAGCTCGGGTCCTCTAGGGGCCTGGGAGCTTGAGGGCTCTGCGCAGTTAGCTGTTCCTAGAACTGCACTTTTCTGTATGTGTGTGTGTGTGTATATATATATATATATGTATATATATATAGGATGGAATTATGATTAAATAATTAGAAATAATTAATATGTTAAACATTTACCACTTGAGCCAGAGCAGCCTCCATTTGGGGAGCAAAAAAGTTAAGCATCCAATCTTATGGCCTATATATCAATACATTAAGCTACACCTCTGTAAAAACTGCTGAGCCTGGGCTACGCAACTAAATAAATCTTTTTTATGTGCTCTAAACACAACTTAAACTACAAGTAAATGAATCATGACAAATTGCTCTTCAAGAAGAAAAGAAACTTTATTGTTATGTTTTGTAGTAGGTAGAAAACAGGCAGTGACTTTATCCACATGAACCTTATTACAGCAGGAGGGACAAGCGTACATGCAGCATTCATCTTGTGACCCTCAGCAGAACTTCCTCTGAACTCTACACCACACCTCTATTTATATTAACTGTGATCTGCTGCCACCTAGTGTTCAGTTCTGTACACAGCATTGCAATGTGCCATGTTCATTTACGCTTTGTAAAAAAAATCCCATAATTGTTATCTTCATAGTGAGACAAAAGTAGTCAAATATATCTTGTGATTACAGAAATGTGCTTGTTAAAGAGTGGCTATGTTATCCATGGCTCACTAATTTTATTTTTAATGAAATAAATTTTGGGGGGGGCAAATTGTCTTAAATGATTAAAATGTGATTAATCAAGATTAATTAATTACAAAGTGTCTGATTAATTAGATTTTTTTAATTGAGTCCCACCCATAATATATATATATATATATATATATATATATATATATATATATATATATATATATATATATATATATATATATATATATTCCCAGTGTCCACAGATTTGTCTTTCTCAGCCCATAAACGATGCATCCCATTTGATTTGATTTGAAATTCTACTTATTTCGCACAGTTTTGCTCCAAATACTGGAGTTGCTTGTTAAATTTGAGCTATGCTGACCCAAAATAGCCACTTCTGACCCTGAGATTTTTCATTTGCACTGGGGCTATTTTGGATTTCTGCTCACTAGTGACTGTACGGTACAGAAATTAATTTTTGATCCGGCTTCGCCTGTGTGACCGATCAGTCACGTTTCTGGTATAAATTTATCCTGTCAGATCTTTCCATGCAATTAGAGAGCTCAGCCGTTTGTCATTGATAAGGCTGTGGCAGCTCCTCTGGGCTACACTTTACATTCAGCTCATTAAGAGGATAAATTATTGTCATGCAGTCAAGTTTGATACCACTGAAAGATGCCGTATTAGCTGTCAGACTTCAGCCTGCCTCATTTGGCCTTTTGTGTGTTTAAGGAATGACCATTTTTTCAATTAGTTGTTATTAAACACATTTAGAAGCCTGTAGGATAAGCCTGTTCGTGCACCAAGGTATAAAGCCCAAAATGAAAATTATAATTACAGTGTAGATGCTTTTAGATGTCCAAAAACACATGCCCCCCCCCCCCCCCCCCCCCCCCCCCGGGCAGCCAGCAATCTGTTTCTGATCCAACACAAAGAGATTATGCAAACAAATGGTGCCCCATGTTTTGTGCTGCCGATTCTCCATACTGAACAGAGAAAGTGTAACATCATCAAAAGTTGGGGGAAAAAATACATAAACTGTTGTGAATTTTTGCAGGACCGTAGCTCAAAACATTTAAAACTTTGCTCATCTTAGGGTCTCTGCATCTGCATACAATCAGCAAGCATTCAAAGAGGATCATGAGTCAACTGAAAAACCGCATGGAGGCGCCGCAGATTCAGATCACCTCTCAGACACGGAAGCAGTTGGCTCACTAATTTATGTTCCCCTGCTGTGATGAAAGGAGATGTGGTGTATAATTTGTGTGATGTTCCTAAACAGAGGGAGATGGTGCGACTTGCAGTTCATGAACTTCTGATAAAAATTAAAAAAGAACTAATGACTGCAGTCTGTAATGTTTTGATATTTTTCACATTTCAGCATGTATTTTCTCGTTGAATAAAAGTTACGCATCTGCTGATGCTTATGTGTTGCATGTCAAAGTGAATAATTTGTAAATTAATGCAGCTTATTTCAGTTTTATGAGACAAATGGGACAAAATCACTCAAAATACCATTCTTATCTGTGCTTTTCTTCTACTTTAAAGTAAAATCTCTTTTCTTACGGTATTTTCAGTAAAAGTTCCAGAATATGTTGTTTTGGTTTAAAAATATTCTGCAGACTTTGTAGATGTCATAGATGTTACAGATATGTGAGCGAAGTTAGAATGGGTTTTTATTAAATTTTTGGTCTTGCAGGAAGCAATTGAAATGATGCTAAATTTGTATAGTGGACACTTTTTTCAGAGCTCCAGAAACAACATTTGGATCAATTGAACACACCAATTAAAATACAAAAACAATAAAAATAAGTTTTTAGTATGCTTAAAAATGCAAAATTAAGCATGTAGTTGTTTTCTGCACCACTTTGGGCTACAACGCTTCTAATTTATTTATTTATCAGGCTTCATGGATGGTTGAAAGACTATCATCAGCATCTCAATAGAAAAGCTAATTTATTTGTTACCAGATGTGAGCAGCAGATAGCGCTGTTTCATCTCCAACTCTCCCCATTGAGCTTGTTCTCGCGTTAGCTTCGTGCTTCCACCGGCGGCGACACTCAGAGAGGAGATGGCGGCCAGAGGGGGGTTTCAATCTGCTCCGACGGGTGGTGGCGGTGGAGCAATGGGCCCTGGACCGCCAGCAACCGGTGCAGGACCAGGTATGGGCCCCGGTACTCCCTCTGGAAGAATGGGGCCTTCGTCAGCCGCGCAGAACCACATGTACCGCTCTCCGATGCCCGGGCCTGGGTATCCGGTGAGTTCTCGTTCCATGTTTGCTGCTGACGCGTTAGCTTGTTCGCTAGAACAAAGCCCCTCATCGCTCCTTTGTCGCTACTGGCCAACGTTGTTTCTGTTTCTCCATGAGGACCAAAGCTGTGACTAACTCTCAGGCTGGTTGAATAGAGTCAGTCTATCCCAAAACTTATTTTAGCCACTTCCCTTGAGTTACCATCGGTGTGTTTGAATTTGCTAACCCATCCCGCCCGCAAACGTTAAAGTTTTAGTAAGCAGCTAGTTAGCTCATCATGCTAACGTTGCTAATTTGCTCTGTAGTTTGAATAAAAGCACTCCGAGAGGGCTCGAGTAGTGTAGGAAAATTCACAAAAAGTGAGTTTGTTACGTTTGAAAGTCCCACTTCGATTAGGTTTGGGATTTTCTATTTATTAGATGTCTTAAAATCAAAAGTCTGCTTTTGAATGAAAAGTTTACACTGATAAGAAACCATCAGTTTTCCAGACGGAAAAAACTAAATAAGAATAAAGCCTCAAATTCCGTTTTAATGCGTGAAGTTTGTGCTTTTGATCTAATAATATACTGGAAATAATTTGTCACTGATGGATTTTGTACTTTAAAAATATTCTAGTTAAACTTTCAAGCCTCACCTTTATTCTAAATTCTGATTTTCAGATCAGACTAGTGCTACTTAATCATGAGTTAAAGAACAAAAGTTTTCCAGATGTACTATAGTTACAATAAAACTAAAATAATAGTTTAGTCCCGCGATCAAGAAAGTCAAAATATTTCCACCAAAGGACACAAGCCAGCTGAGCAAAGTTTTTCTTTAAATGACAAAGGTAATGTTTTGTGTGTTTGTGCAGACTGATGTTTCAATTTAACTTTTAATATGCAGATGTCTGTTGAAACTACTATCTGATAGGTTTAACTCATGTAATTGGAGTATCAGTTAAAGGTGTTGATCATTCATTTAATCAACTAGCTCAACCTCCTGAGCTACTGTTGCAACAACGAATTGGGGAAAAAATTGATTAAGAAATGCATTAGCAATGCAGTTCATCATCACTTTGTTGTGTTGTGCAGCTTTTTTAATTTATTTTTTTCATGTAGTGCAACCTTTTTTTTAACAGTCAACGTGTGTGCAGCTTATCTGGGGGGGGGGGGGGATTTATGTAACTCTTCTGTTTAGATGTAATAAAAGCTTGAAATTATGAATGATTGGGGGCGTGTCCTTTTGATGGACAAGTAGCAGAGGGCTAGGGGTGGTCGGCGCTAGGGGCTTCCCTCCTGCTTGCTCCAGGGAAAGCTTCAGTCTGCCTTACCTTAACCCTCCCACTGTCCTAATGGGTGTGACCCCATGAGGAAAGTTGACCATTGAGCAGGGTTGATGGTTTATCCCTTGGGTCCATGTGGCATGGGCGACTAGTGACCACCACCTCACCACTGCCACGTGGACTTCAAGGGATAAACAATCAATTCTGCTCAACGGTCAACTTTCCTCGTGGGGTCACCCATTAAGACAGTGGGAGGGTTAAAAGTGTTAGCTTGTCCTGCCAGGATTGGTCGATTTGTCATGATGACATCAAAAAACAAAATAGTCATCAATAAACTTAATAGTCTACGTTGTTTATTCTACGCATTGTTTTAATCTTACCTGCTTCAGCAGTACCACTGCTGCTTGCGGTCTTTCTGTTCGAGGCACGTGCGCAGTAGCGGCCATTCGGGTGAGCCATTGCATCACCGGAAAAACAAGACATGGCGACTTGCAATGTAGCACAAAGTTTGAAAGCATTTTACAAAAATAAGCATGTACAGTGCAAAGTCTGCAAAGTAGGACTTCTTTCACAAGAAGATAATGCTGATGAACGAACGCCTTAAAAGGAAGCACGTCATGGCAGAGAACAAAGGGGACAGTCACCTCCTTAAGCTAATTGCCCCTCGTTAGCTGCTAACATCATCAGGGACAGTGTTTCCCTAGGAATTTTTCCAGCTGTGGTGGAGGTGGTGTTGGCGGGGGGGGGGGGGGGGGGGGGGGGGGGGGGGGGACTATGACACGTCTCACCTTTATGTTAATATTGTTTTATTTGATGCACTCCACTTTGAACTGCACCAGTCCAGCGACTGCTGCAGTGTAATAACTAGCATTAAAGGTGAGTACACCAATATTTGCACAATAATAATTTCTGTTTTAAACTCTCAGTGACACACTTTGCAGGGTGGATTTGGCATTTAATTTTCTTGGCGTCTGGAAAAACATCTTCTTTTGCCCCCTTTATTTGACTTCTGCCCCCTTTATTTTGGTCCAAGACCATTACTGGGCTGGCCCTCTTAAACACGTTCTACACCCCTGCTTAGTAGACTTAATGAAGTATTTTTAAGCCAGTATAAAAATGACTGAAACACAAATTTACATATTTGGCATTATTGACCAATATTTTTGATTTAATTTATTTGTTAAGAACATCAAGATGCATTACAGTGAACATTATAATAAGCTGGGCGGACACTGTGCGACTTTTTCACTCGTAACACAGCTTCAGCTCAAACTGTACGACTTCAGCGCAGGGTAGATCTCACGAGCCATGTGCTCACTGTACGTCTGGTAGCAACACATCGGACCCTAAAATATGCTAAAAATAGCAGTTTTTACACAACACGTCAGGACTTTTTTGTCTTGTTTTGCCTGTTGTCCTTCAGGAGTGCTGCAGGAGGACACACAGGGATTTATGGGGGTTGGATGAGGAAAACGAAATAAAGTAAATCTGTGTTTTGTGATCAGTTTAATTTGACATGATCACGACAAACACACTTTCTTGACAATCATTGTGAGTAAAAAAACGTGTAGAAATAAAAACGAACGTGTGTTATTGGGGAAATAGCGGGTGAGCGGAGTTGATGCAGGATTGCGAATGCGCCGTGAGCGGTTCTGATACTTTTTGGGTTGCAGCTGCTCGCTGCGCCGCTTCAACCCTCATGAGGAACGAGATAAATATCAAACAGTCCGTGCGAGCTCACGATTGCTGATCGGTAGCTGGTCACGTGGTGTTAATCGCCTCTCGTAACCCCCTGTACACTACACGACGCTCGGCGCAAAACTCGCCCCGATCTTGTGGATTCTCGCACGAGTGGAAAATCTGCTCAAAAAGTGAAAAAGTCGCACAGTGTACACCCGGCTTTACTGTCTGTGTGTGTGCGTTGATGCCTGGGCCGAGCTGACTGAGCTCCCGCTGCAGTTTTGTGTGTAGGGAGGGGCGGGCGCTCTATCTGACTGGCCAATCACAGAGCGTGAAGACAGTCAGTTACCCAATGAGGATTTCATTCAGCACGATTACAGATATTTTCGAGTTTTACACTCGTTTCTTGCTCATATTCGTCAAAAATGCTTTATCCGTACGCTCATAGCTGTAACCACCCTGCCCTGCCCTCCTCCTCCTTGCTACCTGCCGGCTGTGATCACAAGCAACAACACAGTAGTTCCCGCTGCTTCTTCGGGAAACGGCGCAAAAAAAAAAACATCACTTGGGATGTTGTAGGCGTGGCGGTGGGATTTCAGCCGTGGCGGGCCGCCACGGCTACGCCTATGTAAGGGAAACCCTGCCTTCACTAACCAGCTAACTACCAACCTTTCCACTAACTTGTCCTGTGTAACCCTCACCATGTAACCCTCATGTCCATGCTGTCTCTGGAGGAGCAGAGGGGAAACAAGACCTCCTGTAATCTAAAATGAACCAAAGCTTCTTCCCAGTTTTTTTTTTTACTGAACTTAACATCAGTTTATCATCATGAAACAAAAGAATAAAGTGGAACAAAAACTTCTATCTTCTATTTCTCTCTCCTTTTAACTTATCCGTGTCCCTAAATAAGAGACAGACGATTACGCTGCAGCCGCTGTCACTGTTAAGGTCACTGTTATGGCCAATAACCGATATTTGCTGATACCTATATACTGACATTAATGCTTCTAAAATCAGCAGATTTTGTATAAAATGAAAATGATTAAAACTGAATTTACATTGTTATGTACACACAACCCACACATTTACGGTTCGGAGATTATTACAATCACCGTCGCGTGACTAAACAATTACACATCACCCCCTCACCCTCTGAAACGGGCAAACAAATGGAGATGAGATGGAAAAAACATTGGTTGTTAATATTGGCCCAGTTTTTTTATTTTTTTTTTATCAGGCCGATACCGATATGTTAAAAAATGACTAACATCGGCTGATACTAGGGATGCTCCAATCAGGTTTTAATCTGCCGATCACTGATACCGATCAGCCAAGAGGCTGATCATGGCCGATCAGCCGATTACCGATACCAATTACATAGATTGGCTGTAAATTGTTCATTTAGCTATGGTGAGTTGTAATGCATGTGTTACATATTAATTCAGAAAAAACATGGTTTTACTTCACTTCAAATTATGTAATATCAGTAACAATTTATAAGAAATTGAAAACATTAAGGCTCTCTGTAGGCTACAAATAGTGCAAAAAAAAGTCAATATCTCACATCACCGCCTAAATCAAATTAAGTAACCAAGGATACGTTCAGATACATCCAGTGAGCTGTTATCTCAGCATTGACACAGGACTGACATCTGAGCTCCAAATGTCACTTGTGAAACTCACAGAGGATGAGACGCTTTCTTTAAGGAGTCCCTCGATGAAAGAATACACTTGTCTGGTGGAGCTAAGAAAGGGCTACGTCGGCAAAATATTTACGTCCCCGTAGCATGTAGCGAGGTTCCAAGTGGGTTAGTAGTCGGCGGAATCCGGCGTCTTCCACAACTGAAAAAGGCTGGTCGTCTAGTCCAATAAACTCAATGATTTTACGGGTAATTTGCTTGGCCTTTTGACTGTCACTCTCATATGGGCGAGTGTTTCCAAGCGTCGACTGCGTCAGCTGCCGTCTGACTGTGGCTGCATTAGCAGGCTTCTTTTCATTGTCTGCGGTGAGCCTCAAAAACTCACCATGCTCCGCCAAGTGTTTAGTCTTTCGTTGTGTTGAATT